GTCTCCTGACGGACGAGGAAGAAAGGGAAAGGGCTTCCTCTCCCGGTTTCCTATCTCTCCAGCGAATGGGGAAGCCAAATTAGCCGGGATAATCAAGTCGGTCGGGCGTAGGAGGGTGGTAAAGTTATACGCGCACCGGCAAACGAGCAAAAGTCGTTTTCTTCGACGACGAAGAAATCGGCGAAAACCTCCGTTCGAGCGGAAAACGTCGAAAAGGGAGCATAAGTTTCTCGCCGCTGTGACAATTCCATCCCGAGAAGAAACCATCTGCGTCTGCGAATTTCACTCCTCGAATTTAATTAAAAGGACGCGGGGAAGAGAGGAAAGATTTCGCGTGTATGGAAAGAGGGACGAATCGTTCTAACCAACGATTCTATCAGTATCCCATATCGGTATCCCATTTTTCGAACGGGGGTATATAAGGGAGGAGGGGATGAGAATCTTTTCAGAAGAAAGCCGAGCACGGGTCCATCCAGGAGCGGAGAAACCGAAGATTGATATCTGAACATGGTGCCACGTGAGCTGCCGAGGCACGGCGTCTAATTAACTCCGTGACTGGCTGACCCCGGGTGACCCTGGGCTCGTTGCATGCTTCGATGGCGCCTGTGTGCTTGCACATACACGCACGTCCATCCACGTGCATCTACGTGTTGCATCGGGGGGCCCTCGCACACCTAACGGACCCGCTATTTCGTCGTAGATAGAGACATCATCGTGCCACCGACCCGCTCTACACCTTAACCTTATACGGCCCTCGAGGAAGGAGGAGGACCCTCGATCACCAGCATCCAGTCCCTGCACGAACTCTCGAAGGATGTTTCCTCGCCACATTCGAGGGAGGGCCACGGATTTGAAGAACAGAAATTCGCGAAAAACTCTCTTCCACGGAGGATGACGATGATGATGACGAGGAACGACGAGACGTACCGTTAATCCTCCGCGATTTGCCCGCGATTTATCGCGGCTCGGAACAAAGCGATCGAGATCGTGCGGTTTTTCACACGGCCTCGTGTAAAACGTGCCACCATGCCGCCATCCAAGAGATAGACGTATACCGTTCGCGATGCCCTCGCGGTGTTTCGTTAATTAAAACGAACGAACGAACGAACGAGCGAGCGAACTGGTTAATTTTATGCGAGTGGCGAATCGGGCCGGCGTGCATGGCTTTCCCATTACCGCGCCCACCTCCCTCCTGCGTCGATTGGTCATTGGTGTCACAAACGATCATGCTCTGCTCCTCTGCCACCGTCATCGCCGAATATTGACGTTGCTCCCTTCTTCCCTGTGTAAACGCCGCCGTCGCGTTATAATACGTGTATATACGTGTATTTTTCAAACGTGTCCATCTTTTTCTGTCTTGGAGGGAAGAGAGAATGGAAATTTCTTTTCCATTACGAAATTATTATAGCTGGAAAATATATATCGCTTATCCACGATGCTTACCTCGATGCAGAGATCCGCGGTTAAAGGCGAGAAAGCGCGGGCAGAAGCGGTATTTAATAGCGGGCAGAAACAGTGATACAGTGTTTATTGCCGACAGACGCCTGGAATTTTGAGCAGGCTCGACGACACTCGGAATGCTACCGTTTTATTTCATAGCCAACCCCTCGGCTCGCGCGTAATGGCGAATAAATTTTAATGAACGTCAAAAAAATAAACAGCAAGCCTCTCCGGCTGTTTAATGGAGGTTTGATTTGACCGATGTTAAACGGTCACGCGATTAACTTCCATCTCTTGCTACTTTGAAAAGTACATCGTCGTCGAACCCTATATAAAATAAGTCGGTCGATACAGAGGGGAGGGAAAAAAAGAGAGAGAGAGGGGGGGGGGGAACACACATGGTTTCGCGTGAAATTTGAATCGAGCCCGGAAAATGTTTGTCGACTCTCGGAATGGCGCGTACCAGGTACGCGTCACTCGTATTTTTCGGAGGAATAAAAATTTTGTTAGCCGCTAGACCGAGCGATTTCAAAATTCTGATCGGCCGCGGTGAGGGATCGTGGTCCGGGGGGAGGGGAAGAGAGAGAGGGATCCAGCGAGTGTGGAAAACAGGGTGTGGCGCGTGAGAGCTGGCTCACCTGAAACAACACAACGTTTTCAGATCGCTGATCCCATAAGCGTCCACCGTTTGATCCCTCCGCGTTGTTTTGCGACCGTTGCGAACGCGTCCCTCTGTCGGGACGTTAATTCGCGAAAAACTAAAACCTTCGACCGTATCCTTCGACTCGAGTAGGCACGAAGGCCCTTACCAACTCGATCGAGCTCCATCCATTCGCTTCGTTGACGATCGAAGCGAAAATTCGAAGATGATTTCGATCGATCTTCGATCCTCGAAAATTCGCGAAAAACTAGAACCTTCGACCGTATCCTTCGACTCGAGCACGAAGGCCCTGCTTACCACCTCGATCGAGCTCCATCCATTCGCTTCGTTGACGATCGAAATGAAAATTCGAAGATGATTTCGATCGATCTTCGATCCTCAAAAATTCGCGAAAAACTAGAATCTTCGACCGTATAATTCGACTCGAGCACGAAGACCTTGCTTACCACCTCGATCGAGCTCCATTCATTCGCTTCGTTGACGATCGAAGCGAAAATCGGTAATTCGAAGATGATTTCGATCGATCTTCGATCCTCAAAAATTCGCGAAAAACTAGAATCTTCG